GGGGCATGCGCGGGCGACATCTAGTCGACCCGTGACAATTTCTTCCTTTGTGATTCCAGGAATGCAAAACCTTTCCATTTCCTGTGCCATGGTTTGTCTCATTCTGCTTGGAGCGTCTGCTGTAGTTGGCTTTGCTGGAGTTTGTCGACAGGAAATTCCTGCTGTTCTGGTGACTGGTGTGCTTTATTTGTTGACTGGTGAGTTAAATGTACAATAGCACTAATTTGGTTCACCAATTCTTGTTGAATGGCTTGAAATTGCTGTAACATCCATACAGAAGAAGAGTTGCCATTATAATGAAACATTCGCGTGTCCTTTAATTTTCCAAGAAAAAATATTTTCTTCTGAAAACTTTTTTTCAAGTGCAAAATAACCATCATTCCACCCGTGAATGGCAGCAGCCTCCTTTCCATCCCAGCAGTGCAAAGTCAGACTTTTGTGGTTGGGCCGGCATTTAATTTTTATCCATGGTTATGCCACCCCTGCTGTGGGGTTGAGAAGGGCGAATTCAAATTTTATCTGAGGATAAAGAAATGATGCAAAAGTCCTAAGTCAGACTTTTCCCATATAGTGTCCTCTAAGCTGGGCTCCTTGCTTTCAAGCTTAAATGTAATTTTTGAATGTAGGAAAAATAAATAAATAAAATTTATCTGTGAAAAAACCAGGATTTTTCCCAACCTTGCCCTGCATACACTCTTGAAGCTTTTTTTCAATGTCATTTTTGAGTGATGGATGTCCAATAGCCCTCCCCCAAGCAAAATGTCCCCTAAGGTCAAAAGCCCCCCTATGCCAAAAGGCTCCTTTGTGCAAAAGTTGAGGATTGACATGTATTCTTGTAACTATTCATGGTTATGTGCAACTTTCACCATGTAGCTTAGAACTATTTATGGTAAGCTGTACCTTTCACCAGCAGGTCAGCAAAAGGCTAAGTAAACATCTCTGTGTTAGTCAAGTATAGAAAGGGATTCTTCACCTGCAGTGGTATTTCTTTTGACTGTCAAAGCATTATAACCTGCCTTCTGAAAAATCACATCTACAGTTACCTGGTTGATCCAATGGCTGGTGCACTTCAGATCATCAAAAATCAAAAAGGTGGTCAGAGGGTATACTACAATGGATATTTATGCACAGTTAAGAATACAAATGCCAGTTTCAGATGCTTGTCCTTTTCAGGACCAATTCAAGCAAACTGCCCTTTTCAAGGCCCCGAAATACTGTCATGAAACTCTAATCCATACCTTAAAAAATGTGTGTGGTGGGGGTCATGAAACTCACATTCATATTCTCAAAAAAAGGGTTTTTTGAATCGTCACCCATATATAAAATGAGAAGAGGGGGCTTTTGGCAAGGGGGGTTTTCCGAGGGGGGCGGGGCTTTTGCTTGAGTAACTTTTTGAGTGCACCCAAAAGCTGCAAAAATGGAGACTTTGCCGCAAAGTGATTAACTCGATCATTCGTTCGTTCGTTTTTCGCAGCCATTTTCGGCCTCTTCACAGTCACCATCATGCACTTTAAGCGGAAAACCCGGAAGGACTACGGACTACTGGACCAGTACCTGTCGTCAGGTTTTTATACCACACGGATGTTCGACCCCGGTTGGAGTTACCACGTGGGCTGGATCGGGATCGGCGCTTGTTTCCTGGCCAGTTTCATGTGGCTCATGCTGGCCCGAGTCATGCGCTTCCACATCCTCACTGCTGCTATTTCCTAGCGATTTTTCGCGCTCTTTTTTGTTTTGTTTTTTTGTTTGCAGAATAACTTGCCTCGGTACATTACACAAATGGATTTGATCCATTCCAGAGACCCAATCTTCTGCCTGAGTGTTCAATGCGAATGAGGGGTATGTGTGGAATATGGTTAATTGATTCCAGACCGCGGCCCAAAAAGAAAAAAAACCTGGAAGAGTATGGTGATAATGAGCAGCGCAGTGATACGCTATGTTCGATCTATTAAAAATGCCACAGCAGAAATTCTTGGATAATGCCCAGATTAGATTGTGAATTTCAGGCATGGCATTCTGACACAAGAAAGAAAGCACCCATACACAGTTCAAAATAACTTGAAACTTCCTACTTCAAAATTTTTTAAAGTCCCCTTCTGAATTCCCTTCATCCCTTGTGCAACACAGATGGGATACTTTTGCAATCTTGTGTGCCACTGAGCAATGGAAATTAAAAAAATCCTACTTCTGTACCAACGCCTATCAAAAATGCTTCTTTCCCAAATTGAAACCTCTCTATGAGTGCGTTGGGAAAAGTGATATTTTTTCTAATCACGCGGAAAAATTTGAATGCAAAATGGAAAATATCCCTCACTGTTTGGCAGTTTTTCCTGGTATGGGATTAGCATGGAAGATTCCTTAAAACAATAGAGAATGTGCCTTCTGGATTTTTTGGATATATCTCAGATATATTCGGAATTTCGAACTCCAGCATGGAGCAGTTTGAAATACTTTTCACCCTGGAATCACGTTCTTCAAGCTTGAAATATCCCCAACTAAAAATTCCGAAAATTCGGTGGATATTTCGTCTGGTTTGAAGTATATCTGGTAAGATGAGGATAACTGCAATCTCGTTTTTTATGTGCAGAATTGCGGAAAGCAGCTCGTTTTCGAAAAATCGCAAAGTTTTTTTTTTCAACAATAGCATTTGTTTAACGTTGAAGCATCCTTTTTTATTTGCTCGTGATGCCTCGAAATTTTCTCTCGGACACAATGCTTGTGGTATTAGTATTCGATCGCATTCAATTTTTTGAAGTTCTACATTTAGAGGCTTTCTGTTGATTTTTTTTAATCGAATCGAAAGTTTAACGGAAGTTCATATTCATTTTTTAAATTGAAATTCCACGTCCTTCCACTATACCTTATGCCAGCAATTATACTTGAAATTCCGTATATTTGCCAGAATTACCAATAATTATAAAAAATCCACGCTTATATAATTATAGAGTCCATGGAACTCTAGTACGGTGAAAAAAAAATCAACTTTTCATTTTTTAAGGGTCGAAATTGAGGATGAAAGATTTCTGACTCACTGCTTTCACCTTGAACGTCTCACAAAAAATTTATATGTTTGAAAAGACTTGAACTCGGAGACTTGGAAGCTTCATTGAGTTCAAAATTCAATTACGAAGCAGGATTTTCAAAAAAAAAGTTTACCCTGTCTTTCAATTCAAGACAGATTTTCTGAAATTCGCTTTTTTAATTCCTGCAACGGAACAGGGTTCAGTCTTGTTCACGTGTTTTTCCGGTATTTGTGAATTGATCCTTGCAATGAGATGAAACTTGGGTGATTATTTTTCTCTTGGAATAATTGCATATATAGTTACCACACGACGTAGGATGTGGGGTTTGATAATTTTGTAGCTTTAAATGTAGACGTCGTTTTATGGTTATTGAAGATTCGGGGAGGGAAAACTAAGGTGAAGCGAAGGACAAGCAGGCTTGTGATTGACACGTATTGAAATTCTCATCGCAAACACAAGAGTTTTGTGCCTAAAATTCAAGATTTATGGCAGTTGAATTATAGCAAGAAACCACAGGAGAAAAAAATGCCTTACTTTCTTTATATACGAATTCATTGACCATGCTTTTTCGCTTTTGAAGCGAGTTCCTTTCGAAAATACGCATCTCTGAAAACAATCGATCTTTTCTACGTATAGTAGTTCATAGTCATTCCTTTTTTCAATTCAGGTATATTTTTACAGTTATTTTGTGTAGTGCAGATTACTTCATCACGTTTTTTGTCAAAAAAAAATTTATGGTAGATTCACTCCGCGTTTTCAGATAAATTTTTTTCCTTTCCTTGCGATTGCAATTTTCTTTCTTCTGCATCGAACGATTTCAGGTTCTTCAGTTTTGAATTTTTGTCAGTTTGCGAATTTATGAATATATGAATGAAATATTTACCCTATATTATTTTGGGTTAATTATTTTAATATTTTCTGTTGCAGGTTGATAAAACCTTATCAGACGGGAAAAATGAGCCAGCTAATGGCAAACCGCAGATAAGCAACCAATATACATACTTAGGATATTACGATAACGTGTATTAGCAAAATTTTTGAATTTGACCAATATTTTAGAAATTGCTCGTTCTAAATTCCGTGTTTGCCATTATTTTTCTTAATTGAGATGCGAGCTTTTATTTCAAATCTTCGCGATAGCTGCTTTTATGCAATTTACCTTCTTATTCCAAAATTTTCTGGAATGATATGAACGCAATAAGCTGAATCCAACACTTGACGCTTTGAAGTGTATTCTTCTTTCTCTCATAAAATATTTCAGAAAGAGAACAGGTGAGTGTGGTGAGGTGTCTGTGTTGCAGCATATTCCGATGGGTTGACATTATGTGGACGACACTCAAAATCACCTGAATAACACAAAGCAAAAACTATACAGATTCACTGGAAGGCAAAATATTATATTTCTGTTGAACTCGTCTACATGAAGCAAAAACTATTGTAATACTGTATATGGCGAAATGCAGCGAATATACT